GTTCTTGTAAAGAGACTGCATCTCTTCACCCATTGCGGCAAGCCATTGCGCAGACTCACTACAACTAATTGCTTGTTTATATGTGGCAGGTTCAAATGACTCTACATCATCAGCTACACTCAATGCATAACCTGTCATCGCATCAACACAGCAATTTCTTCCCTCCATCTCTTCAATCAATCTAACAGGCTTCTTGATAACTCGTTTAGGCATCTCAAGAATGGTGTCAGGTTGACTAGATGACCCCTGATTAGATTGCTCCACCTCATCCCCAGAGTTAGAATGAGTAGGAGTAATCTCAGGTTCAGGAGTACCCGGCACTGGAACATCAGCATCATCATCAATATATTGTACCCGAGGTAAATCAGCAATGGTAGACTGATGTACCTCAAGTACCCCATCTGTCTGTAATAAATTGTCTCCTTCCCTTCTCAAATCTGAAATCTCTGCATTTTTAATTGAATACATGGTGTTTTCATCGAAAGTAACATCCCTACTAAGAATGACCCGACCCTCCGAAGGTGAAAAAATTCTAAACCCCTTCACACCATCCCCGTACCCAACAAAACACCCCTTCTTGGCTCGTGGATCCAGCTTACCCTCAATAACATGATAATAAGCAACACAACCAAAAATCTTCAAATTCGAAAAATTAGGCAACTTACCACTCCAGATCTCAAACGGAATTTTGGAATCAATTCCAGAATGAGGACCCCTATTAATGACATAACAAGCTGTTAACACAGCTTCACTCCAGTACCTCCTCCCAAGCCCTGCATTAGAGAGCATGCATCGAACTCTCTCTAGCAGTGTCTGATTAACCCGTTCTGCTACACCGTTCTGCTGTGGTGTCTTCCTGACAGTATGATGCCGACCTATACCCTCATCTGCACAGAACTGATTAAACTCGTCTTTGCAAAACTCTAGCCCATTGTCCGTTCGTAGCTTCTTGATCTTCCTTCCTTGTCGATTTTCCACCAAAGCTTTCCATTGCTTGAAAACTTTGAAGGCCTCATCCTTTGACTTAAGCAACCTAAGCCATGTGTATCGGGACTTGTCATCAACAAATGACACAAAATAGTGGTAACCTCCCATACCTTCAACTCTAGATGGACCCCAGCAATCTGAATGGATGTAATCGAGCACTGCATCAGTAATGTGAGCACCCTTGCTGAACTTTGACCTGTGTTTCTTACCAAACACACAATGCTCACAAAATTCAAGGTTGGCAACCTTGACCCCGGATAGAAGACCCCTCTTGGACAATAGCTGCATCCCCTTCTCCCCCATATGACCAAGCCTCATGTGCCAAATCTTAGTCATCTCCTGGTGAGATACAGATGCGCAAACCGCAGAACTAGGCAGTGTAACACCCTCAAAAACATAGAGGGTGTTCCTTTTGATACCCTTAAGTACCAACTCAGAACCTCTGAAAATACACAACTCCCCATCTGAAAACACACCATTGTACCCCAAGTCATCCAGGGTACCCAATGAAATCAGATTCTTTCCTAAAGCAGGAACATGCCGTACATTAGTCAAAGTTAACCTCCGCCCATCAACAGTCCTCAACCTCATGGAACCAATACCTGTGACCTTACATGGAGCATTGTTACCGACTATAACCATACCCCCATTGCGAGGTTCATATGTATCAAACCAATCTCGACGTGGACACATATGGAACGAACACCCCGAATCTAGAACCCAGTTATCAGATAAATCATCAGACCTAGCAGAACTGACTAATGCTAAATCTTCCTCTGAATTATAGCTCTCATTCGGTTTCTCTTCAACTACAGCAGCCTGGGACTTGTTTTTCCTCACCGGACAATTATTCCTAAAGTGACCCGGTTCTTTACAGTAATAACATGTTTTAGTAGTAGTTTTACTAGATCCATCCTTGCCGTTTCCAGCACCCGACCCAGCATTGTTCCCCTTGTTAAACCCCTTATTCTTTTTAGACTTTCCGGACTTAACAAATAACCCACTACCATTATCCCCATTATCACTCGTAGCTTTCATTCTGAGTTCCCTAGTATGAAGTGCTGCCTTCACTTCTTCTAAGGTTATAGAATCCTTACCAACAACAAAAGACTCTACAAAATTCTCAAAGCTAGACGGTAGAGATACAAGTAAAATCAACGCAGCATCCTCATCATCAATTTTAACATCTAAATTACGTAAATCAAGCAAAATAGAGTTAAGTTTTTCTAGATGTTCCCGTAAGGAAGTACCTGACTGCATCCGGAGGCTAAACAACCGCTGTTTCAGTAATAATTTGTTGGTCAACGACTTAGTCATATACAATGACTCCAGCTTCAGCCACAATCCAGCCGCCGTTTCCTGATCAGCAACCTCCGTGATGATTTGATCATCAAGACTAAGTAATATGGTAGAGTGTGCCTTCTCTTCCATAACTTCTAACTGCGAGTCAGTCGGTCCGTCTCCTGACTCCGAAGTAGTACTCTTTGGAGCCAACGGACGCCATATCTGCTGTTGTTTTAACAGAGCCTTCATCTTAATTTGCCATAGCCCGAAACTATTTTTCCCGGTAAACTTCTCAATTCTTATTGTTGAATCTCCTGCCATTGTTATCTTCAAGAAACTCTCCAAGGATTGAACCTGAGCTCTTGATACCAATTGTTGTGCGACAGCGGAAGCAAAGGTCGTAAACAAACAAGAAAACAATAAAGAAATTCAATGCAAACAATAAGAACAACACCAAGAATTTACGTGGTTCACTATCGATGTGATAGCTACGTCCACGGGCACCGAGATCGAATGATTTCACTATAAACTGCAAAGATTACAAAGATGATTCTTGTATTTCTCAAGAACGGCTTTTCACTCTGTCTCTCTTAACCCTAATACTGATATTAGGGAGGTTTTATATTAATCCCTAATTAAAAGATACTTGGGCAAAAAGATAATAAAATAAGATAACCTAAAACCGCAAAATCCGCGTTCCGTATTTTTCCTTCTCCGCCCGGTCAGACCGGGCAAGGTCTGCCCGATCGGGCGCGAGAAGAAAACTCCATACGAATGCTTCAACGTATCCAACCCCCACCGCCCGGTCAGACCGGGCAAGGTCTGCCCGATCGGGCGAAGGCTCGCCCGGTCGGGCGAAGGCTCGCCCGGTCGGGCGAAGGCTCGCCCGGTCGGGCGAAGGCTCGCCCGGTCGGGCGCGAGAGCAGCTTCTTCAACGAATTTGCCAGGCACCTCTTCTTCTTCCGCCCGGTCAGACCGGGCAATGTCCGCCCGATCGGGCGGACAAAGCTACGAAGTACGAGTCACCTAATATACTTATCAACAATTATATTACAAACAAATAAACAAAGTCGTAGTCCATGGAAAATTATTGAAAGCATCTAACAACCTGAGGATTAATCTTAGGAATTGATGTTAATAATTTTCAATCCTTTTTATTTGCGGCTCAAATCCCCTATAAATATATTCAATCTTGGTTATATTCAAATTCAACCTACAATATCGTCTATCAAACTTCTTTCTATTCTTAGAGTCTATTTATAACTTCCCATCTTATTTACTCAACACGAAAATGGCTCACCAACAACAGCTAAAAAAGTCTTTGGTGATCATGGCAATGGCAATGCTTGTGATGGCCTTGGCTGTCGGCTTCCAGACGCCTTGAAGAACAACTGCCTGTGTCTCCTATAACAGTGGACCAGGATGCAGGGGTTGTAAGGGCGCATGGTACTTCCAAAGCCCCAATGAACGGTTGCCTGAATGTCAAAGCGGCGGGTGTCAAACCTTGTGGCAACCTCACAGCTCCCGCAATCGGTGGCGGTCCGGCCCAGGTTGCAACCCCACCTCCTCCTCCTTCTCCAGCAGCCGAGACTGGATACTGATCATGTCATTCTATTGCTTGCTCGATAGCTCCCATGTTGCTGCATATATGCATGCATGCATGATTCATCATTTTCATTTGCTTCTTCTTATGCCGTTAATTATTACTCATTTATTTACTTCTTTATTGATTTTCTAAAACTTTTTTACAGCAATTACTTATTAGTCCACGTCCAAGTGAGGATTCGTAAAACAATCCCTCAAATTAAATAATTTGAATTGGACTAGTTGGTTAATGTATACCATTTTGGTTTGGTTTGTAATCTTATTAATAAGTTTACAAGAGGTGTGTGATTGTGATGAAATTATAACTTTATTATTCTTATACTAAATAAATTTATAAATGAGTTCTTTCGTTCTAACTAACGTGTGATTTTAGCTCCAATTCATTACTCCAATTACGGATTATGGTACTAATTTAATACTTTCATCGTTTCATTTTATTTGTCCTATTTAACAAAAACTTTCACAAAAATAACCAAACATTGGTAGTAAATAAGGTGAATGGAGTAGCATTTGAAATAGAACTATGGGACTAAAAGCAATTAGTCAAGACTTAAGAGTCCTCTATAATCTATACGACTCACCTATCATACATGGGCTGGTTATCAAGATAATGATCCTCCTTTGGCCCAAATTAATTAGACCATATACTTATCAAATTGATTGATAACGGATAAATTAAGACATGAAATATGCAGCCCTGTCTTATCATGCAATCGATATTAGACAAATTCAGCATTAGGCCTTGATCTTATGCTCGAACTCAAATGAAATTTTAGAAATCGCGTGCATCTTTTTTGATTATCAAGAAGAAAAATCCAACATGTTGAAGATCGTTTAATTAAAGGGCATCTTACCCGATTAGAATCACACGATAATCAACAACTAACCTTCTAAAGATCAAAGACAGAGGCATATTAGCTTGGGTGGGGTCAATTGACCCTGTAAATTTGATAATTTTGAAAATATTCTCTGTAAGATTTGAAATTTTATTTTAAGTGTTTCAACAAAACATTAAATCCATTCAAACTTAAATTTTTTAATTGACATCGATTTTTTAGATAGGCCACTATATGTTCATGTGTGTGATCGAAATAATTTCTATGGAAATTGATGTGGTATGTAAATGTTAATTAAGGTGTATTTAATGAGACACAGGGAATTATATCATACTATAAACAATATTTTCTTACAAAACTAAAACTTAACTTACAAACTACACTTAATTATGAAAAGAATTGATTCATCAACAAGACTAATTTTTAATTTAACAAAATTCAAAAGTATGGCGGTCTATAATCATGTTCAATTATGGGCACAGTTCTAGTTGCAGGAGCAATAGGAGCCCTAACATGCCCAACCATGCTAACTTGCAATGCTTCCTCTTCATAAGCCCTTCTTACCATTTCTTCCAATTTCGACCTCTTCTTCGCCTTCACAAGCATAGCAATCAATAACAACCCCAACAAGAAGGCACCCAATGCCGCCCCTACTGAGCTCCCTAGCGCGATTTTCCATCTACTTATCCCCTTCTTGTACTCCACCGGAGGAGACGGACGAGTTACCTTGATCACCAATCCAATATGGCCTTGCCTTTTGGCTTCACAAACATGAGGTGACACCATACTTGTTAGTGTCACCTTACCTTTGCCTTCAAAATTAGCACAATATGGCATTATACCCTTAATACTCCTCGAATCGATTCGACTCACATTGGTGAAATCTACCTTGATTGGATCTTTATCAGCAATAATCCGAAGCTCAAATGGGTCAGGTCGACTTACATTTTGATAATCATCACCACCATTGTAAGCTAATAGGCCTAAAATTGGTGTAACAAGTTCATACCCTTGTAAATTATAATTATCATAGTACATGTTAGACAAATTTAATCCTAACTCTTGTCTAATTAATATAACTCTCTCTACACAAGGAGTAATCTGAACTCCTTTGCGTAAGTAAAACTCTTTAACTCGAGCACCGTACCTTCGTAGGCTACCACATCGAAACCTCGCTGTATCAACCTTAATGCCGGAGAGATTTGTAGGTAATTGTACATTGCTCACCACTCCTGTTTGGAAGTTGTTCTTGTCGAATAACCCGACCGTGTAGTCTCGAACAACAAGATCAAGGAGACGAGGAGATCGAATGTTAATGACTGTTTTACCCTCCGTCATTGTTAGTCTCTCCGTACTTGATGATGGTGATAATGCCAATGACAAAGGTGGCAATGCCAATGATATAAGAGGAAGAAACACCAAAAACAGGGGAAAAACAGAGCCCATATGTATGTTAAGAGGGAATAACAAGGGGTTATTAAGGTGTGATTAACAAAATTGATTATGATATTGGAGCGGGTTTCGCATCGAAAGGAGTGTTGTTAATGAAAGGTAGCAGCCTTTTTGGGAAAAATCAGGGGGAATGAAGAAGAGTATATGAGAGAATGAGAGGGAAAGGTTATAGAAGAACAGAGTTGAAACAGGGAAAGAAAGAAAAAGAAATGGGGAAAGTAAAGTAGATGTTTGTTTTTCCATGGCATGGAAATTAATTGAGATAGAATAAACATTGAGTTGGGCCATGATAAAAACTTTATGTCAAAAGATTTACCTCCTCTTATAGGGTATGTGAGAGTGGCAAATGATTATGGGAGCATTAAGAGCTTTTTGCATGTTTTTGTAGGTTTTCTTTTTAAGCCATGGGTTGTATGAGATGATTTATTTTATAAAGTGACTAGTTTAGGATTGGTCACTATCTAGTGGATTTAATTGTTTTTTCTTATATGGGAAAAGGGGGTGTATAGATATATTTTTATATATTGTATTGATATTTATCATGTATAGACATAAATGGAACTAGACGATAATTTCTTGTCATAGTATGTGGACAATGAATTGAAGGTAAGTCCAAGTGGATTGAGCTTGAATAGAATATGGAAAATGGGTCACTTGGATTGAAATTAGTTCATGATTATTAGTTACATGTTATTTTGATTGAATATAATCATGTATGGACATAATAGGACTAAACAATGGTTTCTTGTCACAATATATGGACAATGAAATGAAGAAGTGATTGAGCTTGAATAGAACATGACAAATGGGTTGATTACTTGATTGGACTGAATTTAGTTTGCATTACTTGATTCAAGTTATTCTTTTGATGGTCATTTATGTTAGTCATTTAAGTTCGATGCACCTCATCACATATTCAAGTCTATTGATAATAATTAAAATCAACGTATATTATGCAAACTTTTATAGTAAGTCATTTCAAGTCTTGTCAAAAATTGTGTCATCTAGTTTTGTAACTATTCGAATTTAATCTATGTTTATTTCGACATAACTTGACATATCTCATACAAAATAGTTCAGGCTAGGCAAAATAAGTTTATATAGCTAACTTCAAACAAATTAAGTCAAATAAAAGTTTTAGATTGTGTTAGGATCAAAGTCAAATATGAGCAACTTTTTTTAATTGCACTTCTTTGCATTAATCCCTTCTTTGTCTATTAAAAAAAAATTCAACAATCAAAATACTTATGAATCCATAATTTAATGTCCTGTAAAGTTTAGTGTACCACAACTACCTATCATGTTTGTGGTTGTAAAAAAACTTTAAGCGATTATCTCCAATTTAATTTCTCAAACTTTTTGACAGAATGTACATTGCTGACAATGGATCTTGAAAAGCACTTCTAGTGTTGATCACGGTTTTTAATTTAAATAATTTATTTAAATCAAAAGTGGTGATCATAGTTAAGACTTATAGCAATGTCAAAGTATATAATTAAGCTAGTTGATCAAGTTAATTATAATGGGGTGTTTACTCTATGACCACTGAAATTTAAAAACTAATTAGATTGAGTAAAAAAGGATCTAAAAAGGAGAAAATATTGACTATTGTGGTGGAAAAGGTGAAAAGTAAGGTGACAAAAGAAGCAAAGGAATGATTTGGAGCATGAGAGTGATGATGATAATTCATATGATAAAAGGCTAATAAAAAAGGAGACTGGGGCGTGCTGGGAAGTACTTATCAAGGGATAGGAGAGAGAAAAAAAAAAATAGCAATGCATATGCAAGTTTCTACCTTTAGGGCTCAACTAGTTGATCATTGTGTTGGTGTTATGTCTCCTTAATCTAACCTCTTTTGTGGGGTGTGGTATCATCTTGTACATTTGTACTATGTTGTTCTAGGCTTTACGCTCTCATGTCAATGTTCTCGTGGACTCGTGGTCTATAACCACGTATCAAAGTTTTCGTGGACTCGTGAATTGTATAGAAATCATGCAACTTAAAATCATTAAAACTAAGTGTTATCATTGTTATGAGGTGAATGAAACTTGATACTCATGTTCAAAACTCGTTTATATTACATTAATATCTTTATGCCTCTATCTCCACACACATAATGATATTTTAGTGATGTATGGATACAACAAATTAAAGAGCAGAGTTGAAATAAATGTAAAATCAAATCAAACTCATGTTTAGCCATGTTAGAGTTTGGCTTAGCTTGACTCATGGTTAGTCTACTACAAAACTTTATTAAATGGCTTTACAAATATGCTCTTCCAATAATGTTATACGAATTATGTAAGACGGTTTTCCATTTTATAAAATAAAATTTCCAAACAAAAAAAAAATGGAAAAAAAAAACTACACTTGCTACATTTGTCAATAATAAAAATACATCATATTTTTTGAATGTCAAGTACAATATAAAACTACTATTTAGAGTTTGAAGTATAAAGAGAATCTTGTCCAAAAAGATTTGACAATACTAAACATAAGAGATTGTCGGTGAGAAGATTGATTTCATTCGAAAAAGAAATGTCAGTAATAGAAATCAACTCCAAACGCCAAAAAGGACACTATTTGATGAAAACACTTTTAGTGTTTTTTGAAAGATTGTTGATCCATAATGATGCATGAGCTTGGCAATTAAAAGTAGCTAGGCATGCATGCTTTATCCTCTGTGAATTGAACAATTTTACAAATAACAAGGGTGTCCAATTAGTGAAGTTGAGGCTTGAGGGATAAAAAAATAAAAAAATGTGTGTAGGCTTGAGGATTGAACAATTTTACACATAACAAGGGTGTCCAAAAATTTGTGTAATTTGACTCTCTGATTTTTCCATCGAAATATTCTCCGGCCTTTAAGAATTTAAGGGAACATCGATACCAAATCTGTTACTCATTGTCATTGTCAATACCATATAATTCTTGTAAGGCATCTATCCTAAGTGTATGTCTACCATGACATTTTTGTAATTTTCGTCAAAAAATAGAACAAACTCTTGTGTGTACGGTGCTAGGAAAGAGAAGCAAAGGCATAGATAACGAAAAGGGAGAGAAGAAAAATTGAAAGAGAGGGGAATACAGATCAGATGGGAAAGAAAAAGTGAAATCAGAAACATTACATTCATTGATAGTAAAAGAATGGGAGGGGAGAATAATATACCACAAAAAGATTTTACCTATATTACGCGAAGGTTTCACTTGTACCACTAGATCATTCAGCGGTTTAATTTACCACTCCATAGCTTAATACAAGTAGTTGTATATGGTATATCTTGCATGTACATCAAAATCAATGGTAATTAAAAGATGACATTTTTTTTTATCTAAAAGTCGTGGTATACATGATAAGCTACATATCATTAGGTAGGCAATATCACCAATATATTTCTTAAACATGGCCCATATCCTCCAACATTTCTATCTAGAAAGTAAAGGAGAAAACTCAAGATTTACTCTAAAACGAACTTAACAATATGAAAAATTGCATTAACATTTGTATCTTCGGAGCCACACATTTTCTCAATCGGCTACACTTAAGATACAAGAGATCTATTCAAGGGTCAATAGGCAATACATCTAAATAGGCGATGTTGCTACAACATTGACCAACCAAGGGAAAATAAAAATAAATACAGAAAATCAAGGGTGATGATTGAATCATCGGAAGTTAACTTTGGCTTGATAAGTCATGCCTACACTCCAATAAGCTGGGACAACGTTGTAAGCAACGATAGTTTCACGGGTGGAGTAAGATTGGATTTTGAAAGAAAGACATTGGCCTCCTAATTGACCAAATGCTTGGTATGATGCTCCCCAATTGTGGCTCATGCTAATCCATCCCGTTCTAGAGCCTTTCACCCACATTTTGGCAATGTCGCCAGCACCACCAACATTCATTACCGTCGTTAGTAGCCAGTAGTTGTTCCCTTGGAGGCTAAATCTTATACCTCCTTTCTTTCCACATGGAACCCTGTTCGGCCACCAATGAATATAAAAATGATTCGAATTGATTATTACCGATTATAAATAAGTTTTGACCAAATTATTGATCTAAGCTACACTTATGGTATATAAAAAAAGCTTTAAGAGAGCATAACAAAAAAATATATTCCTAAGAACAAATAATAGGGCTAACAAATGATATGAGCAAAGTTTATTACCTCCTATATTGGACTGGAACAATGCCGGCCCTATAAAAGGCGATTTTCTTGAATGCAGGCATGGAGAGGTCAAAGTGGGCTCTAGGAGGGTTGCACCACCCGCCGGCATTGCTATCCTGGGCCCAATTTGGAGGGCATAGGTTAGTAGCAGTGACGGTAATGGAAGTCGAGCCATGGCCATAACCATTACGGTTGCACCATTATGACCCAACACACATTATTTGATAACAACTACCGCAACCATATCCATTGTTGAACAATACGGTGCTTAATGCAGCTGTATTGGTACCATACCCATTGTTGAACAAATTTCCATATCCACATGCTCCTCCTATAAATAGAAAAAAAATTCATCAATAATTCATAGATAATAGTTATAAATCATACTTTGTACGACGTAAATGATTTATTATTTCACTAGGGTAAAGTATAAAGGGAGGCATTAGGCTCAAACATGCATATTTGTTCTATTTACCCATAAAGGTAAGAGAGCCATGCACGTCTATTTAAATTACGAATAGAAAAAGCTAGCCATCTCTAATAAGAAGGATTAGAATAACTCATATTTCATATAAAGTTAAAATTACACATCAACACTAGACAATGTTAAACAAGGGTTATGTACTCGTGTGAATTGAAGTGTTTCATAATTTAAAAAAAATAAAAAAATTCAATGATTTAGATTTTACCCATTGTTTCAGAGGCACTATCATCACCATAAAAAGTTGCATGAGCGTATTTCCATTTACTTGGCTTGAAATAAGTAGCATATCCATTTGACAATCTCACCATTCCTAATACTACCACTACTGAAAACAACAAGCTAAATCGCCTTGATTTTTGCAAAAGAGAAACCATAATTATGATTAGATAAATTGTTTAGGGATTTGAGATCGTCAATTATAATTCCTAACAATATAAGATTAAGAGATGTAGGGATTTTGAATGATGATTTAGTTAAAAGACTATGCAAGTTTTATATAGTGTTACCAAATAAAAACAAATGGGAATGTACCTAAGCTACAACTTAGTGATTCCCACGAATAATAGTAAGGCCGAATAATAGAATATACACAAAATAAAGTCTACGTTACGTTGATCCGTCTTAATCACAAATGTTCAATGTTTGCGGTGGAAGATCAACGCTATTTACGTGCTAGCAAGTTATATTTGATTATCTTATATGACTATATAGTAAGTTGGTTGGAATAATTTTGTTTTATTTATAATGAGCGGATATAGTTATATAATTTCACGATTGTTATTTGATCGTTGTTAACAGTTTGTGAAACATGCACAATTTATTTAAATACTATACGGTTTAACCACCCCATTTTTTAAAAGTTAAAGTCACGTAGTAGCAGCATATAAGCATCTCCTAGTCAATTTTTCTATTAGAACGGGTCAAGCTAAGAAATATTGTTCTAGCTAGTAGGAGTCAGTTTCCTCGCCCTCGACCTCTGTTGAACCTTAGTAGTTTTGATGAGGATGGAAAAAGCAAACTTCAACTAATGAGATTTCTCTAA